GCAAATTAATTACTTGTCATGAGTGAAAATTAATTAAATCTACTGGAAGAGTAATTAGGCTGAGGTTAAATATTGAATTGGAACACAGATTTCTGTTCGCAGTTCCCTTCAGCGGTTCCTAAGTTTTCTGCCAAACAACCTTTCTCCCCGTAAAACCCTTCATTACTCTTATAATAACTGGTCAAAAAACACTATTTACTAATTTATTCCTCCCGAATTTCTCTCTAATTACGTTCCGTCTGTAGAATCTGGCAAATCTGCTCGCGTCAAAAGTCTAGAATCGACTTTTTCTATAGAAAAAGTGCCATTCTTCGCCGTTTGCGAAGTAAAAAAATTCGTCACCCTCACGCGCTGGTGACGCGTTTCGTTCGGAAGTTCTCCGCGAATGGGATAGATTGTGTTTGTGTTGACGACAAATGAGTCATCGATATGCGTGAGAACATCACTTATCAGTTATTACAAATGAGGAGTGGCTTGGAGATGGGCACAGATATACTCTTCTTGCATTGCACTTCAAACGTGGCCGTTGGGTGTTAAATCTTGACCATTCGAAACACTTAAAGGAGATTAGGCTACTCTGGCAATTGTCGGGGTTGTCATTTATCCGAGGTAGTATATATTTCCTAGAGCGGGGCAAGGATCGACTCTCGGTGCGTGTTTCATTGTCTTTTCTTTTAAAGGTCATCCTGGCGATTCTTGGAAGTGTCATGCATATTGAAAAACTTGTAACTGCGACCGTTTTTTTTCTCTTCCATTCTCCCTTTCTTATCTGCCAGTGCAGAAAAACAGGGTCTGTGCCTTTTATTTCAACCTCCTGCTCTTGTATCTCTTTCGTCACGTGATTGGAGATGGGGAGACGACAAAACTTTCACTGGCTCGTCAGTTGCTTAGTGCAGGAGTGGATGGAAAACATAAAAAAAAAGAACTGGATACAGTTCAGTCCCCGAAAAAACTGTCCAAACTTTGCCAAGATTTTTTTCCACATTTCTTCCCACCCGAAACATTCGATGATTTTGTTCAAAGTTTGTGATCGATAACGTTAATTACCTTTTTTGTGTATAATTAACAGAATTGATTCCATATTATACGTCTGATTTTTTGTATCTTTTTTTGTTTCCCACCTTTGGTTCCCATGGCAACAGTGTAGCGTGACGTCACAGGTATGGGTTAATATCAGCTGATTGACATCCCGACGGAGAACCAAATTTGATATTTCGTCTGGTAGATAACACTCGATCCCATCATCTTGGATGAGTATCGCATGATTTCATGATTTTACTAGATCAATTAAGTGACGATATAGAAGAAACAGAATCTATTGCCGATCATACGCTTTGCAATTTTATAATTATCGCCTCGGTTGCTGCTTATGTAGATGAAGTCATTCGTAGTCCAACAATGACTAGTGAAAATAACCTCGATCGTCAATATTTAGACGAAAGTTCCCACAGGAAATAGTGTTTGTGTCCTTGATTTACATTTTGACCTTCAGTGCAAATCACTGGACTAAGAGAGCAACGATCAGAAACTGTATAAATGCAAATCCGATGTGAAGGAAGAGGTAGGAAATAAAGATTTCGCTTCACTCACGAACGGAAGAAAGAAGTATTATTAAGGCGGTCAAACTGGGCACCATTACGTCACGTTAATGACGCAACGATGTCCATTCATACTCAGGTTCGCTTTTCCACCTCTCGAGTACGTTGAACCTGTTGTCGATGTCACTCGACTGGATTTGTAGGTGCAAATTAACCAGTCCCGCATCCATCAATCAGATCTGTGAATATCCAAATAACTCGAGACGACGACCCACAAGGCCGAAAGGGTTAATCAAGCAACAATGGTAGTTACACTTCCCTTTGATTTAAATGTTTTCTGATAGAAACCCTTATAACAGACTTACTATAATTTTCGCTAACTATAGATTTAATTAATTTCAATTTTCTTGGAGACTGTTTTGACGGTGTTTGTTTCAGATTGGTCTTTCTTGTTGACGCTAACAGAAAGTAAGCTCTATACGTGAAATTTGTCATAATTTATCCCCCTCTGAAGAAAATATTAAGGAAAAAACTTAAGCAAGACGATAAGTACTCAGTTCTTAAAGCAGTATAGTTTTTTAGCCTGTACGAAGATTGTATTTTACCGCTGAGAAACTTCAGTTTTGGAGGTTGTTTTTAAATAAATATCATCTTAACGTTAAGATTATTCAACGATGGACTTGTTATCCCTCGAAAAAAATCTAGAAGAGTTGGACATTTTAATTGTGGGGATCGGAGGACGAAGCGGGACGTTGACACCTGCGCATTCGTGTACCACCCGAGGGGAGCAACCTATAACTCAGATATTTTCGGTAGAAGGATGGCTCCACCTCAACTAGGATTCTTTTTTTTTCTTCCTACCCTCTTTGGCGGCAAGGGTAATGGCTAGCCATCACGCAGAATTCGGACGAGAAGAGCAGAATTATTAGCGCATTGTTGGCGGGAGTCTTTGCAAGAGGAGAATAAATCGCTAACGACCAAGTTACGTCTGGCCGGATGGTGGAACTGATGGGGATGTTTACCGAGCTAGCGATAGCGGCATTATCATATCTGTCCGTGGCCGTAACTGCAGTTTTGTTTCCTCTAATTCGACCAGCTCGGATATGGAGGCACTTACGTTGCTCTTCGATGCGTGTCGCGCGTTGGCCAGTCGCAACGACCACCATTAATGGCTTTATAATGTGGCCGGCTCGGGATATTGGTCCTAGAAGAGCACCTCGGGCGGCTCCTCACGATACGCGATCGTGTTGGCAGCTTATCTGAAGCGATGGATAAAAAAAAATAATGCTGTCAGTAGGGATATATTGATTTATGATTTTTGGGATCAATACAAATAGCGAGGGGGTGCGGAAAATGAGGCTGCCTATCAAAGAAAGTTCATTGTGTGTTAGTGCATGGACTCGGTCTTTGGATCTCCGCAGATCGATGGCCAAAAAACCTTCTTTATTTATAATTGATTTTTAGCTTGTAACAATTACAAAGAAATAGAATAAATCCTCCCGGTAAAAGGAGAGGTTTTGCTCCTCGTGTCCGCTACTTTAAGTAAGAAATTGATGGAAAAAAGTGCTGCAAAACTCGTACTAACCGGACTAGGAATGGTAGAGTAGAGAATCCATTGGAGAAGAGGTTGTATTTTTTCGCCAGACAGAAATCGATGATACCTCTTGCTTGCTAATTAACGCTGTAGTATAAGAAAATGGCGGCTCCGATGTGGCGATGCTGGGACACTACCAACGACGAGGACGAGCCTTCGTCTTTCTTGGTTCTTTGTCGTCGTTCGGATTTTCACGCTTCAAACCGGCCCTTTCGATATCAAAGTGTTGCCAGTTTGCCCCAAAATTCATTAAGAATTCTAAAAATTCACCTCCGTCTCGGGAGTAACTTTTCGCTAATAAACGTTGCAGAATTATTAGAGGGGTGCGTTTTTTTTGTGACGAGTGGGTTCAGTTATAGAAAATGGTAAATCTCTTTTAATGAAAAAGTTATTCCCTGCACGAGATTTCTCGGAGAGCGTTTACGCCGCGCACCATCCAGAGAGAAAACAGGTAATTAGCGAGTTTCGGGAGGGAGGGGGATATACTCGAAAATTTCAATAATTGTAGAAACTACGTTCATAAAGAAATAGGAGATAATTGTACGAGCGGCATAAAGACAGAAGGGCGCGTTGATTAATCTGACAGAAAACACAACTTTAATTTAGTGCCAGCCAACTTGTTTGAAAATGGATGAGAAAAAGTTCTTGAAACCCGTCTCTTTCTGTAAGATGCATAATTACAAGTATATAAATAAAGCCTGGCTCACTTCTTTTCTGTCTCTCTATGTTTTTTAGCTTCGTTTGCAGAAAGTAATCAATACCTTTAGAAAAATCTGCCATTGGCAAAAAAGAGTTGCGTATCTGCAGCTGGTGAGGTACTTCTTTGGTGCTCGTTGTATCTCCGTCCCGATCCTTCCACTTAACGATGGACCGCTGACCAGCGCCCAATTTACCTCTGGTGGCTAATTATGACCCTCTAAACCGCTTGTTAAACTAGCAGGTGGTGCAATAGCCACTAATAGACGGCCTTAGATATTTATTGTTGAAAGGGTTATATAGTAATGGGGATGGTAATTGTTGTTTTCTCCCCACTTTACGGAAAGACTTCATTTCATTATTATTCTTTTTTTTTTTTTTTCTATCTGCCACGACGCTATTTTCTGATGGCAATCACACAAATCCAATTGTTCTGCAGGAAGCACAAGTTCTGATTAAATCCGACTAGGTTTTCGAGGTGGTAAGGTATCGACTGTTTGTCGGTGTGGTTTGTCTGAACGTTTTCTCCCCCACATCATCTATCCATCCCCGAGAACCCCTCTCTTCTATCGATTGAGTAGAGAAACCCTAATGATACCTGTCTGGACCATACTTTGTCACTTTTACTATTTTGATTGCTCGTGTATTGTTTAACCCCTTTGCTCTTAGGAATTTTATCCGTCTTCAGCTTATTTTATCTAACAAAAAGGTAGTAGTTTAATCTCGTTGTTTGCGTCCGTAAACAATTATGAAATCGTTGAAGTATAAATTTAAGTGATTTCGCGTAAACAATGATTACATATCTTTCGTGATAAAAAAAAAGAGAAGGTTTATAAAATAACAAAAGAGTTTGTCCTTGCCAGATACAAATTTTTGGTTAAACTTTCCGGCAATAAGTTAATAAATCACTAGCGTTGTCCTTATTAATTTTTATACCGTCTTCCAATTTGAATAATCTTGTAAAATGATTTTAAAGGGGGGAGGAGATACCCATAAAAAACATAAACAGAATCTTTTTTTTTCTAAGTCTCTCTTACGGTTTATCAGATGGCAAGGAAAAAGTCGAGAGGAGCAAAAATAATGATTATCGATCCTCGCTAAGTATTAGTCTTGTTAGGATCATTTATGTATTTTTTAATTACATCTTTAAAGGGGGGACTATTTGTATTTTTGTAGTTTGATTAATTGTGCAGGATCGCCAATTTTCAATTTTTCGCTCACTCGGAAAAGCTTTCCGCATCAGTTTTTCGCACCTTTATCGCAAGGAGCATTTTGGGTTTTTATCTTCTTCCGATTGTGCTTCACGGCTTCGACCCGGGTTTCCAGGAAATTAGTCGCGTTCGAGACAAGAATCGGAATGCCTATAGGCGGTCTGAGTGACCCAACCTCTGGCGAAATATTCCAAAATTTAATAATGGACGTGCTAAGGTCTCGTGACCTATTTTATATGGCAGGAAAAAGTGAGTGTAAAAAAATGGCAAAGTACTCGGCTTCGTAATCATTCATAGAGTAGAGGGAGCGAGAATTAAAAAAAAGACGCCTTCTCGGCCATTCGATATTCATATTAGTTGCCGGAGTGATGAATGTTGTTGCGAATCCAGGCCAAGTTTAGTGACCAGCTCGCGTGTAGCTGTGCCAAAGAAAAAGGCGAGGATAACATCATTGTTCTGTTTAGGAACAATGCGAGGGAAGTAAGAAGTGTAACATTAGTAAGGATGGGTGTTAATGGCAAGAAAAACTGCCGAGACAATCGGTACGGAAATTGCCGTATGTCCTGCGCACTGTGACATCCAGGCACTACCAGTCTAGGGGAGGGGGGGCGAACATTCCGTCGTTAGCAGCCAGTCGGGGAGGATCAGTGTTAGCACGCACACGTGCATGATCATAGTACGGTGACGGAGACACCTGACCAGCAAAGAGTGCAGAAAAACCTCCCTTTAATTATGCTGGGGACAGGGCTGGCAGGCTCCAAGTCTTGTCCAATTGGAGACTGCTCAAGTAGAACAGACGAGGCCTGTACAAATATGCTCCGTCCTCGGGAGATGGCAGGCGGGACTCCACTGGTGCAGGGCGCAGTCGCGCGCTTAATCACCTTGCCCGCAGAAATCTGACTGAGAAGGATTGGTGTTTTGGGTAGGCGCGCACTCCGGTCTGTCTCGTGCGCGCGTGCTGTGTGTGTGTCCCCGATGCAGTCCTGTCTGGAATTCCATCATTCTAACGTGACATTCCGACGGTATTCGCCGTCTTCGCCGCTTCAACATCCCGTGAAGGAAGAAGACCAGCTACACGAGCCCCACTTGGACAGCTGTTCCGTGTCGAGTTCTTGTGCAGGTGGGGTTACTCCCACTTCATCACGTAGTTCTGGAAGTTTTTATGGTGCACCTCACTGTTATGTGCCGGGCAAAAAAGTTGATTCGCTTAACAGTCTCCCCAGGCTAGGGATGCTGGGAGGACAACACTCCATGTATCCGGTAAATATTCGTTTTTTATATTTATTGCTTATCGTCAACGGAACGAAAGAACCCACGTGTACACTACTTGCGAACACGTGGACGCTCCGTCTTTAGTTTCGATTTTGCCCACTTAAGTCGACGCTTCGGAAGTACGTTCGGTTGATTCCAAATTGTGTTTCTTCTGATCGTCGAGATTTGCTGTGTTTTTGTCGATGAGACTCGGAACTAGGCGCGTCTTTCCCTCTCCCTCTCCTCTCTCCCTCTCTCGCTCTCTCTCTCCTCTTTATGAGATTAAAATCGATGATTTTGTGTCGTTTCGTTTTTTCACCGCAAATCACTCCCAAATGGCGTCGACCTACAAGGAGAACTCAATCAACAGCAAACATCAAACACGTGAAAGGAATGAGTAAAACAACTAATTCCGTCTTGTCTGGATGATTTGCTTTACTGCGCGCATTCCAACGGTATCGACAATAATTCTATCTAGTGTGGCATGTGCCGAAAGTGCCGATCCTGTTTGCACGTTCGGGTATTAGTCGGCGGTGCCAGGCCTGCTCCACTTTTTAAATTAAGTAAGCGAAGTCGATTTCGGTCCATGAAACTCACTTACGTCGCACCTCTCGTGAGGCCCATCGTTTACTTTATTTAATCGTAGCGCTTCTCGATTTCAATTAAAGAGATTCGGGGCTTGATTTTCCGTCTTTTGCTTTTACAGAAGGCTGCCTTGGTTTGGTCACCGACTTCGGAGACTCATGCTAGTAAACCGGGAGGATTGGCTGCTGCTGCAACACCGTCTCCTGGCCGGCCTGTGTCACCCGCTTCATCCGGAGTCATCCAGTGGATGTCGATGATGGCCGATCACGCACACAGCAGCGTCTCTACCCATCACGACGTACACTACATGTGGAACGGCGTGGAGGTAAGCAGAAACACCCCAGTCGAGCCACAAAGGTGGGCCGATCCTCTCGTGTCCCGCGAAGAAGATCCGGCACACTCTTGTGGATGTATCGGAATTGTAGCCAGCCAGAAGGGGGAATACAAAAAAGGGAAAAATGTGTCAGAAGGAACCGAAACGACAAAATGTTGCAATATACAGGAAGTAAAAATCCCCCCTCGTGTATAGATATCAATTAGGTTGACACATTTTTGTCGAAAATACTGGATGTTGATGAAATCTGACCGAACTGCCCAGTAACTGGTACTAGATATTTTCAGTAGTTTCACCGACAGACGTACTAAATATAGAAGTTACAGTTTACGGTAGGCCTAATTACCACATAAACCACGGCTACCGAAGGCAAAACTATGTCAACTTTTATAATACCTGCGAGTTTGCACTTCCTGTTTTCAAACTCGAACGAAAATCGGAGAAAACCCTAAGGGAAATTTTCGCGTACTTCCTCTACTGTGGCTAAGGGCCCAAATTGTCACCTGTCCCGAGTCGCAATTATTACGTAGACCCCGGGTCTTTTATAATTATTGAACTTAATCATCTGCGCATTCCAGAAGCGTCCACAAAAAAGAGGACGGGGCGAACGTGTCACATTAGTCATCAGTCATGTGTGAACGGCTCCGAATCGCCGATAATCAGCCATTTTTAATTGTTATTCTTTATTAACCGTTGAATGCAAAACGACACTCGACTAAAGAACGCGTCACCGGACAACTCTATATACCGGACCGACAACAAAAGAACCTCCCGTATAATGAAGCACCCGGGAGGTTGCCAGTTACACCCAGTAGTTGGCCCTACGTGTTTCGATTACCTGTAGACAAAACCTTATGAATATCGATTGTTTAATGGTCAATATAAATTCCCTCGTTATAAATAGATATGCAGTTATAAATACAACCTCCCTCCTCGGCTCTGCTGCCCTTATTTTTGCAACGCGTAGGCTCTCTGCGCCCCCATTTTTATTTTAGTTTTAATTACCGGGATGGAAAAATGTGGCTAAATGAATACGGTAAGTTAGCGTGGAGTATTTTTGCTTAACATCCGCAGGGAGAAGATCCGGAGGAACTGTCAGGATTTGTGCCGTATGAAAGATGAAGGGATTTGCTGGATAAAGTTAGCAAAGCGCTCCTCTCGGAAGACTGACACTTTGCTGGATGTAATCGGTAGACTTATTGGGTATAAAGCTGGCAAATTCTGTAGCAAAACCTTATATCGAGGATTAAATCAAAAGGCGCGGCGTAGATTGATAGCGTGATGGCAGAGATGCCCCGTCACGCGTCCCACTAGCCACAGTTAGTCGTGTTTTGGCCAAACATGAAGTCGAATGTTGCAGAATCGCAACCGGACTCGTCCGTAGTGGTAGGGAATATCCTAAATCTGGTTAAGACACGTGATAAGGGGAAAAATAAAGATCGTTAAGGGGCCGGATAGAAATCGATACCCATCAGCGAAAACTCGTCTCGGGCAGGAGGGCATTTTTTTCCTCTTCTGTTCCTCCCCTTCAGGCTTTGTGTCCACCGATCGAATTCGGATTGGCACGCAACTATCACTTGCCGTATACAAATATGTGCACACCAGTCGAGACCATCTAATGGAACTTATTATTGTCTAAAGACGGAAAGTCGCGTTAGAGGAAGCAAAGTGTTAAGAGTTAAACGTAGTAGATCCGGTAGTTTATACGCGGCCGGCACGTCGCTCTACACAATAGATGTCGGGAGGAGAGATGGACGGAGATCACGCTCGCAACACAAACGATTGCTATTCTATTGCTGAAATTGCCGACAGCAGTAAGGGTGAGGTGGTCATTAACCTACTCTTCGGGCGGTGCATTAATATGAGGTTGTGCAAAGGTCGACGTCTACCAATACTTATTTCATCACTCAATTTCTATTCCACCCTTTGCAAAATCCGCTTTTTACTCCCGTAACCACTCCATCGATTGTTATCTTCCTCCATTTATTAATAAACAAGGTTTATGTTGAGAAAAAAAATTGGATTTCCGAAGTGATTTCTCGACTCTTCATTGATTCTCTTAACCGAGACGCTTCTTCACAAATAAAAATCTACACTCGATAACCATCAGATTAACAAACGGAACGCCTTTAATCTTTGCAAGATATCTTCATTTTTTACTTGACGTAACTAAATTTTCAACGGTTTAACGTATTTGTGGTACTTTTGTGCCCGAAAATCTCGTTATTTTCGAATTTTTCGATGTCGAGACGGACGGGTTCCGGGTTTTTTGTCGGAATTTTGTCTGTAAAGCGTTCAAATCTGTTCTGAACAAAGAGAGTGGGATTTTTCACACAGAATGGCAACTTTTCGAGAGGTCGGCCGCGTGACGAAGACCATTCGAGAGGAGTTAAAAGTGTCGTATCAACTTTTATCGGTGGTTAGCACGTAGAGCAATAATTTGAACGAGGGTCCCGAGCATCTGTTAAACTATCGAGTGTTGAAATTAGCTTGAATTTCAAGCCAGTTCCGAAAAAGGATTCGGTCAAGGCTGATTGGCCGGAAGTGGCGAGCGATGTGCTAGAAACTGTCCACTTGCTCCGTCATCTTAATAGTTCTGCTTATCTTTAAGTCCTTGAAAAATTCCCCTTCGCCGGGGGCGAGGAAGTCAACATCGTGTCGAGAATTTATAGCTCATAGAAACCCGCTCCTCACCGGATTCTTTCTGCCCATCCAGCCCTCCACTCGAAAACAAAGCAGGGCTCTGGCAAATCCCACATTCTACGAAAACTCAGTGGCTTTTTCTTTTCCAAACCGACTTTGCAAATATGTTTAAAGTTATGTAAGACTTCGAAAAAAAAATCTCTCCAAAACAAACACGAAACTTTCCCTATCGTCATTTTTCTCAATATTTGATGTGGATTTTTTTTTTGAAAAGGATCCAATTTTTAATGTACATTTCTTACTTAAAACCGATGAGGATCATAAATTTTCGATTCCAGATTGATAATTACGCAGTCAAACACTGCCAAACGCGTAGATTATTGAAGAGTTTTTAGATAATATGTTGGTCCTTAATCTAAGAAATAATCTCGGATTGACGGCAAATTTCTAAAAATTAGAAATTTAACAGTTTCAATAGTGATCGCCCGTTACGCGCCGATGTACCTCGATAGAGGTTCACGTACAGAAGACTTTTTGAACTGTGATTTTTTGGTTCCGTTATTCCGGAAAACTTATTCGAAACCTATAAACGGTTTTCCGGTATAAGTATAGAGATTTTATATAAGGAGAACGGTTAAGGAGAACCGTTCTTGTTCCATTTATTTTAATCTATTTTGCCATCTCGTCACGATATGTTATCGATACCAAGTTTTTTCCCTTTTGAGTTGACCTCCTTCGAACGACACCAATCGAGTAAAGACTATAAACAATTTGTTGTGATCGGACTTTTCGGTTGTCGAAGAATGGCCACGCTGCAATTCCAGTTTTATATATCTTCGGGGGTCAGAAAGATGGCCTCAGATCATGTCAAAGATAGCAACACAACGGTCCTTTTTTCTTCTTCAATTTTGCGCCCTTGGAAGGATCTCTTGATGGCCGTGTGCAAGAAGAAAAAAATTAAGAAAAATTCAAAAATTACTTTTAAGAAAATTTTTTGATGATCAATCGGGGATGTTTGCCATTGATTTAATTAATAATTTATTAAAGGGCCGGTGATGCAAACTCCGGTATTCCATTAGAAAACAGTTTGATCTTTTACCTAGCTCTTAGATTCATCTTCGTTTTAGTTAAATTTCGTGTTTTGAAACGAGAAAGTTTAATTTTAATTCACAAATCTTGAATTTTTTGCCGAAAAAGTTCAAATTTTCTTAATTGTAATTCTTTATCCACCAAGAAAATAGTTTCGGAAAGGATACTTCTTTGCAAATTTTTCTTGTGTTTTTATTGTTTCTTTTTTAAGTTTTGATAGAAAATCTTATTTGTGGAATGATTTTTTATGATATTAAAACTTAATTTTTTGTATTTTTTTAAGTGCTCAATCATAATGAAGTTTAAAATTGTAAATGTTTGTGTCGAATCACATGAAGGTACTGAGTCGCGTTAAGATGAAACTACACTTTTCTTCGTTGATCAAAAGCTTTAATACTTGAAATCTGTGATAGTTTTATTTTAAATGTTGCAAATTAATGGGTATTCTAAAAATTCTAGTCTTCGAAATGCTTAAATACACTTAAATTCGTGATCGAGACGACTCGTGAATAAATTTGAAAATTATAAATAATTGAAGGGGCAAGTAGTTGAATGGGTGCTGTGTCACGTTTTTTTCCAACTACGGTTATTTGTAGTGTTGTGAAGATGTTATGTAGTAATTTGCGCAACATATTTAGCGCTACATCGAAGTAAAAAATTCCGAAGTTGGATATTTTATTGAAATTCGCTACGTAACACGTTCGTCTACTCGTCCCCTTCAATTATTACGAGTGTTATTTTAACGAGTTTTTGAGGCACTTCACTCAAACAAAATAGATTAATTTTTAGTTAAATGGGTCCTCTTCCGTTTGAATTTACCGATAATTCGGAATTTTTGGCTCTCCTCAGCACTGAGGATTTAATTTGGTTAATTCTTTGTTAGTTGAAAATATCGGAGACTTATCTTTCACGTTTTTGAGTTTTTGCGTTTAAATTTGGCTCTATTAAATATTTTTTTTAAGAGTATAAGGTCTTAAAGGGTTTAGTTAACGAAAGAAATGGTGTTTTTTGAAATATTCAGGCAACAGACGTCGAAGTTTTCGTTTTCTAATACAATTTCTTAGCAGAGAAAGGAAAGGAAACATTTCGACCGAATTGACTTTTCGAATCCTCCTGTAATAAAATATTAAGCTTGATTCCTATTTAATAGCCTATTAAGTGCTGCAAGAACGTGTCTACAAGCTCGTCCATTCTCGCTGTTACCGGATTTGTCTAGCCTTGCAAAGAGCCTCTTACTCTTGTTCCCCTAGATTTAACCA